ATCCTGTCCTTCCTGCAGAGAGCTGTGTGAGCACTTGGAAACTCCGTTTGTGGGTGAGGAGCCTTTGGAATTTGATGCAAGTGGCAGCAGTGTCCTCTGCCTCTCCACTATCGCATGGCAGCTCTCTAGAGCATCAGGAAACTGTTTAATTGGTTATCCTTTTGATAACTGTGGTGTACGTGCCTACTCAAGCAGCAGTAATATTTGGCAGTACTAGTGGAGCCTTTCCATTACTTCAGGCCTGAGGAATATTTAAATTTTTTTAAATTACAATTTTTAAAAAGCTATTTACTCCAAATCTGTGCTGCTTTACAGCTTTTTTTGTGCTTTGACTGTAACAGCAGAAACAGAACTAGCCACAGGTTTTAAGTGAAAGGTTTGCCTTTTCCAAGGAAAATAACTTTTCATTTCAATCTTAGTCAGATTTTGGAAATGTTTTTCCTCATGATTTCAGATGAAACATCAACAAAAATCCTGTTTGGCCAGCTCCAGTAGTAAGTGCAAAAATAGAGCTGCTAACATGATACATAGTAGCATTGATAGCAACAACCATTTCCTTTTTGTGTAATATTACAAGAAACCAAACACTGAAAATCTTTTGAATGGACACTTTTTTGCACTTCATAAGACTACTAACATTTGAGGTCATCCTACTTTTTTGCTTTAAGGAGGAAAAATATGATTTCCTGAGGTGACAGGGAACATAATCAAGTTCTCTACAGTTTTGCCAGAGCTGGTAAGGAGCCCAGATCACTAATACGAGAATTCTTGGCTTTTTTAACCACACTCACTGAATTGAAGCACAAAACATGCTGATTGTGCTCTTCTAACCGTTAGCAACATGTCATTGCAGATCGGATATAACAAACAGGATCTTTCATGGGGAGGAGGACACTTGGGGGTTGTCAACTTCATTGCTGGTAGCAGTAATCTGTGTTTATTAGTTGAGAGTTTCTGGTTTTCAGAACTGCTGATGACTGGAATATTGAGGCAGTGCAAGTCTGTGTGAGACCTGCGTGCGGCTGGGCTGGAACAAGCCTTGGAGAAGGTGGTGACTGGATTTCATGCTGTGGAGACCCAGCAGGCTTAAAGCTCCTGCATTTCATGTTTCTCTGTTGGATTTTGTGGAAGGAAGCTTATGCAAAGATAATTACACTATGACAATTGAATATGAACTTTGCTTCCTCATGGATCATACAATAAATCACTTCGTTGTATTTTTGTACTCTTTGGTATCTGTATTGTCAGTTTCAGTAAAATTTATGTTGAATTGTAGAGAGAAGCTAATTATTTTGTTGACTTTTTTTGCAAGAAGCCCTTCTTGTGTTCCTTAGATGCTTCTTGCCTAGTTGTGGTTCTTCTCTTAAATTAGCAAAATGCAGTGCAATTCAAGTACTTCATGTATGTTTGGGGAAGTTCAGGAAAATATTGTACTGTTTGCTTGAATGTAATATTTAAGCTTGTAATAGCTAGTACAGTTATTCTCTTACAATGTTCTCTAAGCTGTGCCATTAAAAAAAAAAAGCAATAAATCAATATTATACTGATAATTATAATACTTGCATGTGTCAGTCTTGCCCAGTGGAACAAAAGCAGGTTAAAACAGCTGTGGTCATCTTGATATTGCAGAATGACCCAGATGTCTGGAACAGTTGTATAGTGATTTTGTACGTCACAAAACTATATTATTGTGCTTGCTTCATTCTTTAAAAAATAGATTTCATACCTTCCTTGGTTGCTGGTAAATACTTTGCATTATTTTCTGACAAAAATCATTACTTTTCTCACATCAATTAGTTAATCTAGTCTAATATCAAAGCTGCACAATCTCAGTTACTGAAGGCACAATAAAGTGCGTTGGCAAACATGTTGGAACAAATTCCAGTAATTGTGGATAAGTCTTAGAGGAAGTGGAAAGTAATACAGATTAACTCAAAAGGCTACACATTCCCTTAGATGATCTGGAAAACAAGATTTGACACCAGCAGTGAGCACTCAAGAGCAAAACCTGAAATTTAATGTCTTTTTCCCTCTTGTAATAAGAAAATTTGTGTTCTATATTTATTAGCCTCAACTGCAAAAACTCTGCTTTTTATTCTAAACAAGCTTGTCTATCACAGCAGAGAAATAAAACTCTCTTCATGTTACACAAATACTGTTTGCTCTCACTAACTGGCAGGTTTTAATTTTTTTTTCTCCCCCCTCCCTTCCCACTCCTCATCTCCAGAGTTAATAAAATTTCAGTCTCCGTGATAATATTTTGGAAATAGCTGGACACACACACACACAAGCTACACACACACAAGTTATTTACGTTAATTGGAGAAATAACACATTTTAGCTATAGAAAGTCTCGAGGGTGGAGTCGGCAGCACTTGTTTATGGAGTTTGGCTTTCCTGTGTCCCCACAGAGCGATTCCCAGTAGTCCTGGCCTGCCTTGTTTTCTCTTCAGCAAGAGCCTGTTATCATGTCTCACTCTGTGGCCTGTGAGAAAGCCGAGGCAGGGCTGTCTCGCGTAGGCTTCGCCTGGCCGTGTGAACAGATTACAGCATTCCGCTTGTTGGTACGAGCCATGGAGCAGAAATGTTTTACTATTATGTTACTGGGCAATGATAAAGTTGGCAGTCTTTTTATGGTTAGGTCCTCAAAGTGGCAGTTCGTGTTTGAGTGATAAGGAGACAGAGCTTTGGGTATCAGACCCAGACTTATTATCTGTAACAGTGAACCGTGGCTTAAATCCTTCCACAATGACAGGAACCCCATCTGGAGTGAAGGTTTCCAGAATCTTAAACAGGAGATACTGAGGCATTTTCCTTCCTCATGAGTTGAAGCAAAGTTAACCCCGTTGTTATCAAAAGCTTTTAAAAAAAAAAAAAACAACCAACCAAAAACAGTCACCAAGAACACTGCATTTTTATATTTAACTAAATCTATTCCTTTATATTAGAACTGTCAGTATAATTTTCCGACAGATCTGGCAGCATGAATTGGCAGCATTACGCTTAAAAGCTTTCGCTTGATTGTTTTAGAATATTGAAAGCACTAATGAAACTCCCATGCTGCAATACTTAAAGTTGCTCTAATGTGTTTATCAAAGGAGGTAAACTAGACAGTATGTGTATTTCTTGTCAGATCTCTCTTTATAGTATCCAAATACAGCTTCTGATTGTGTCTTGGGCACTGCATATGCTTGTTGACGCTGAGCACCATGTAAAGACATACTTGGATTCTATTTACAGAATTCTGTGGGTTGCAGGGGTTAAGTGTAATCCAGATTATACTGTGTTAACATTTTCCCTACTGATATCAAAGTGTAGAAGACTGGCAGGCTGACTTGTTAGGAAGGGCTGGGAGAGGGAGGGAGAACAGGCTCTGACCTTGAGAGGCCGAAGAGCCAGCCCTTGTATGGCCAAGTCCATATACGTGCCCAGCTGATTGGTTGGGGGAGCAGGATATGTGCTGTGACAGGTGTCGGAGGAACCTACACCTGTTTTCCCCATATGCTGATTTAGTGATTACATTTTTGTGGGAGTTCCAGATACTGTGTGGGATACACGAAGCAAGCCAAGAAACTTGAGAAGGAATTATAGCTTATGGTGACCTGTGATATTCAAGAATTTCAGACAGCGTAATTGAATTTTCAAGCACTGTGTTAAAACTGAAGTAGAAACAGGCAGTATTTTGCATATATAGGAATAGTGAGAAAGTCATTTGTACTTTTTATTGTGCTAAAAATTAGTAGACAGTACTTCAAGAAAAAAATGCTGATGAATGCTATAGTTTAAACTAAAACATAGTTTGGTTTTTTTTTTAATCAAAAATTCCGTGTGTTATGGAAATGCAGCTTCTATGGGAAAACAAATGCAATTTCTTTATGGTGCTGGGAAGGTCAGCTTGGAGATTTCTTATCTTTAGAGTCTTTTAGTGTAAAATTCATAAAATATATATAATTTCTCACAAAAAAGAAAACACACAGCCCCCCTCATGCCTGTATAGTCCTACTGCTGCCTTATGTACTGCTGATGTGTACCTGTTTAAAAACTTACATTGCTTTCCTTTTGAAACTTTTTTAAAACATTAAAGATTTTTCCGTAGGTAATATTTTAAATCTTGCTTTGTTATAAACTAGAACTTGCAAAGAAAGATTTCTGATTGTGTAATAGGGTGAAAAACAACAAGGAATACAAGTATCTTTTAAAATTTGGTCATGAGACCTGTAGTTTCACATCCATTCTTTCAGTAGCTTATTTGGAATGGCTAGATCGTAGACAAGTTAGGTTTTTTTCCCAGGGGATGTTGATGTGAGTTCTCCATCAGAAAACAGGAAATAGCCCAATAAAGCATCTATGAAAAAACTTGTATTTAGCTAACTAAGTCATTTTAGAGAGGAATTATGTAATTTCTTTTTATACTTTTTTGCAGTTCCTGTTATCATGCAGGATGACAAAAGTGCAGGAAAATCCTGTCTTTATAGACTACTGAGACCGTGTTACATATATTTAATGTATTGCAGTTGTTGAATTTGATTGAAAATTTTAGCCAATGTGTTTCTCAGAGTTTGACTGTATGCCCTTTAAAATGTGAATATTAAAATTGGGATGCTAAAATCAATTTATTAAAGATCCAGTAAACTGGCTGTTAATTACCAGTGATGACATTAACTCCTTTGCCATAGGCTTGAATGTTCCTTGTATGTCAGGCAACTCTACTCCATCAGCCAGTATCTAAAAATGGTTTTGCATGGAACGCTGGAGAGATGAAGTGGTTGTAGGTTAAAGTTACCCATGAGGTGGCACCTGGGAGAGTCTGTGCCTCTGAATGAACCTTTTTTCTTTGTGTAGTATGCTACTGTTTTGAAAGACTGAGCCTGTCTGTTGAACAGTGAATTTTGTCTGTGAAAGTTTCATGTAGTTTCAGTGGCTCTGAATGATTCAGTAGTATACAAAACTTCTTGGCGAGTTAGTATGATTTGTATGTGAATTTTCCAATTGTATTTCAGACCTTAAGAAAGAAAGGCCTTAATGGTTGTGAGAGCCCTGATGCTGACGATTACTTTGAGCACAGTCCACTATCGGAGGACAGATTCAGCAAACTAAATGAAGATAGTGATTTTATTTTCAAGCGAGGCCCTGTAAGTACTTTTATTTTATCTCTACTTTTTATTTGTTGATCCTTTTTATTAACTTCATTATTTAGGCTCTGAACAAGAAGGAACACAGAGGGTGCGACAGCCCGGACCCTGACACTTCATATGTGCTCACGCCACATACAGAAGAAAAATATAAAAAAATTAATGAAGAGTTTGATAATATGATGCGGAATCATAAAATCGCAGTGAGTACTAAAGTATGGTTTGTGCTTCTATTACATGCATGAAAATTTTCATGGTGTTTGCTTACCACTGAAAACCGCTTGCAAAGACAAGAGGATGTAATGGTTTGAGAAGGGAATAAATATTTTTGAGGGAAAATGACATGCAGATACTTGATCTTGTTAAAATACATTTTATATTAAAAGATAAGAAGATTTATCTCTAGCTTTTGCACTCAGCTTTTTATGCCTTGTAGATGGGAGGTAACATTTCTGAATTTCAAGTGCCTAGCTACATTGCCTAATCCTACCTAAAATATTTTTATAAAGATAGATTTTGTCGTGGGATGTAGAATAGTTTATTTACATTTTGTAGCTCTTTATCTGTCTGTTGATCGAGATTTTACAGTATGTCACAAGTAGGCAAATAGAGTTGGATTTATTTTGTCATCAAATCAGAAGAATTTATTTTACTGAAGACTGAATGTGGAAAGGTATTTAGATGTTTAAAGATAAAGACTGATGCGCAGTGGGAGCCTCATAAGATCGGTGTCTTCTGTTGAAATTCTAACAGATACTTCCTTGGATACTGAAAGGTCTTTGAAAGTTTTGTCCCAAGTACCTAACGTATTTGCAGCCATAAGTCACTTGACTTCAAAACTTAAAAAGTTTGGGGATAACAGTAGCATAAATTTTGCATATTTTTCATGGAGGTGTACATGATGACATTTAATTTCCTTTTACAAAGACCAATTAGTGTTGAGTACTACAAGGGAAGTAATTTCTAAGAATATTAGTACAGGGCTCTGCCACAGCCTTTGAATTTTTTAACATTGCAAATCTTGTAGCAATTAAAGTAAATGGACTGACTGGCTAGGTTAATCAGCACAGACCCTGGGGCAATTCAATAGTGTGTCCCCAAATGACTTGCTGATACTAGAAATTATTTAATTGTTCAGAACAATAAGGCCATTTTTGGGGACTTCAAAGCAAACTGACGGTCATGACACCCAGCATCATTTCTTTTATCAAGTTCTTTGTACTTGAATGAAGCCAATATCTTTTGTTCTTGCTTTGTTTTGAAGCTTTTCATATCCAGTATTTCTGTGTTGAGACATCTTCAGGCCTCATCTCTCAGTATGTTACAGCTAAATTACTCTCCCTTGATTTTCTGTGGTCTTCATGAACAGCCAATATTGTCTGTGTGAACATCACTATAAATAAAAACGGCAACATTATTTTTCAGCTGGGTAGTGCTGTATTTATAGCTTAAATTGGACCTCTTATGGTTCTATTTCCAGTACTTTTGGGTCTGTGTGAAAACATAGTTTCTTTTGTTCTAGTGCACTCATTACTGTCAAAGGATAGGAATGAGGCAAAGTGTGAAGAATTCAGTCATAACCAAATGAGTGCCATAGATGGGCAGAGGCAGCCTTTATTGTAAGGTGTGGGAGAATGTTGTCATTTATTAGTTATATACTGAGAAACTTAGAGAAAATATGTTCCAACTGTTAGCATCTAGCACTGTTTTAAGTATACTTCAGGTATTTCAAATTTAATTTGAGTTACTTGGCAGCATGCTGTTTAAAAAAAACCCTTTTTTTTGTAGATATTGAGTATTTTCTTCAAGTAGTTTCCCGTGAAAACAAATGCCAGTACAACTTGTCATTAGTTAGATACTGAGAATGATTTACTAGCATTACGTTGCTATGCTTCATTACTTTTTCCTTCCTTCTGTGCCAAAAATTGATAATTATTCTTAGAATGCTTCAGTAGGGACACTGTTGTTGGCTCTCACTAGTAAGAGATTTTGTTTCTTGTAGAAAATGTATTCTGCTCTTCAATTAGTATAGTTACTGTTATATTTCTAATATTATCGAAATTGTCATACAGAAGTATTATTCTAAATAAACTTTAAGCTGTATATGATAAGAGTATTTTTTTGAGTATACACGATAGGTGATGAATGTTTGTCATCTGCATTTGACCTCTAAATCAAAACTATTATCTCTCTATGCTGTCAATAAATACTGCTGAATTCTTACCCTTAAATTGTACCTGTCATGGTTTTGTTTCCAGTAATTGCAAGAGTTGTGAAAGAAAATAGTCCCTTTTGTTTCAGAAACTCATCACTGTCAAAGGATAGGAATGAGACAAACGCCAAAGAAGTTAGTCATAACCAAATGAGTACCATAGAAGGACAGGCATCTAAGCTTTTGATTCAAATAGTTGTTGAATAACAAACATATGTACTTCAGAAAAATAGTTGCCTTTTAAATGACACTGTAGAAATTAGAATTTTAAAAACGAGATTTGCAAAAAAAAAAAAGGAAAGATGGAGTGATTATTCAAGTAGGGGTTTGTAGAAGAGGGCTCAGAATAATGGCAATTTAAATGTTTAAATTCAAACTACTGCACTTAGTGACTTTCTAAAGACCTGTTTACTTTTTTTAGTCTGAAAAAGAGGAAGTTGTAGAGCTAAGTAGCAATATTTTGGCAAGGTTATTAATAGATAATGTTATTACTAACTTTTTCCTTTTTTTTGTGTAATAACTGACGATTTTATAATGTGCATGTTTATGCTTACATTTTGAAGGTGCAACAGTTCATTGTTTTGTAGACATGTTTAGCTTGTCATTGCTTTGTAATAATCCAAATTAACTGGTAAATTTGTTGTATTTCTGAGCTTGCGAATTCATATGAATATCTTCAGGTTTTTTGTATCTGAGCTCTCAATATTTTAGAAGTTTATGAATAATTGTCTTGGAACTGTATTTATATGATGTATAAGAGTTTAAAACCATGCTCTACAATAAATGGATGTTTTAAAATTGTATGCTTAATAGAGTTTAAAAACTAACATAATTAACTTTAAAAAAAAAAAAAAACAAACCAAACCAAAAAACGAGTAATTCTTGGCATACTTTAATGTGTATTTTTACGCTGTATTATTTCTGCAAACATAGTTAATGCTAATGTTGTTGTCTTGTGTGTGTTCCTCATCTTCTTTCCTCCAGCCTGGCTTGCCTGCTCAGAACTTCTCGATGTCGGTTACAGTTCCAGTGTCCAATCCCAACACTTTAACCTACAGTAACCCAGGGAGTTCCCTCGTATCCCCATCACTGGCAGCCAGTTCATCGTTAACGGACACAACCATGCTCTCCCCTCCCCAGAGCACCCTGCATCGGAACGTATCACCTGGAGCCCCTCAGAGACCACCGAGTACTGGCAACACAGGTAAGATTTTAGTACTGTTGTGCTTTCCTTTTATGCCCTCTTTTTATTTTTTTTATTACACACACACATACATATGCAAGTAACAACTGATTAATAGCATCAGTGCATTTTCTTTTTTTAACAGCTTAAGTTTTGAAGTAAAAAATTACAGGATACTGTGATGAGAGCAAGTTAGTTTAATGCTCTGGCTTATTTTTATTAGGTGGAATGCTGGGGACAACTGACCTCACAGTGCCAAATGGAGCTGGTACCAGTCCAGTTGGTAAGTGCAGTATCATGCCTTTGTTGAGAAATAGTATTGTGGTTTTAGTTTCACAATTACTCAAAAGCAATTTTTAATTTTGACTCTTGAAAAAGTGTTTGTGGAAGAACAAAGGTCATAATTTTTTTAGTTGCCTTGTAATTGTCAAGTCTTTAAATGCCTGAGAATGATTTACACTTTTTTACTGCTGTGCCCTTTCTACTTCAGTAATATTTGCATTTTTTATTTTAGTGCCTTTCAGTAGTAGCGTGCTGCTCTTGCTTATGTGTTTCTTTACAGGTGAAATTATAGCATTCTTAAGAGATCTTACATTCGCCAAATTTCTTATTTTGTATGAAATTAACTATGCTTACTAAACTATTACACTAAAAACAACTCAGATGTGTTCTAGTTTAGTATTCACAAAACCTGGATGTTTGATACTGGTTGTGGTGCCAATCAAAATGAAGAAAATACAGACTGTATTGTTTGTATTGCCATGTGTATCTTGCTAATTGTTTTCTAGTGGTTATACAAAGAAAGCAATAAATCTTGGAAGCTGATAGCTAGGTTCTGCCTTAATTTTGGAAGATGATCAGAATTTCTTTCAAAAACAAATTAGAGATCAAATTCATGGTATTTTTTTTGTCTTCAATAAAAAGATACGATAGCACTTTTCCATTTAAATAATATTTTGTCTCCCCTAAAGAAAATTCAGTACTCTGATAGAGGGCAGGCAGCCATTGAAATTTATCATGGCCACAGAAGGACAAAATACACGACAGTTCGCCCAGTTCCCTCGTGTTTCTTCTGTTCCTTGAGATGTCTTGGTGAGTGAAGGTCAATTTTGGAAATACACATAACTCCTTGATATGTATTCATAGCAAGGAATTAGAGTAGCAACTGTTGACCTTTCAGTATTTGCCCACTGGCTACTTAGTGTGGCAACTGGGAAGAAGTTCTTTGAAGATCAAGTCAGACAATTGAATTTATGAATAAAAAGTGCTGAAAGCACAGGAGAGACTTTCCACTCTTCATCCATTCTTTGGCTACGCAGCAAAGATATGAAATATTGAAGTGTGGTTTCCATCAGGTAAGCAGGATTTTAAATGGAGGAAATTTCCTCAGCTGAAAAAAAATGACTATTTTTAGAAACTGTGGAGGTCAGATGTTGATTTCCATAGTATTTCTCAAGTCAGGCTAAATAAGTTTATTATCAGGCCATTTCAGGCCTCTTTTCCAAAATCAGGCTTTAGTAACAGCAGCCTCGGATTTAAGATGACTCCTTTCAATAAGCAAATAAAACAGTTGTTTACAGCACTTGCTATAGAATATTGAACTGTAGAAATACCCAGTTACAGCAGCTTGGTGAACATATTTAATGCAGTAAAATGTTTTCCTTCTTGCATTTATTAATAGTTTATGTGAAAAGTCAAAATGCATCACTTATCTCTTACTTTCCAGAACATTGCACCCAAAATGTTATACATATACCCACTCATTTCTAGAAAGATTTTTTTCATACAAGTAAGAGTTGTGGCTATACAAGAACAGTGGAACATCTATAAGAAGTACTTCTAGCAAAATTCAAATAGCTAGTTAACACTGGGATGCTAAGTGACAGAGTACCTTAAGTTGTCAGAGCTCCGCTTTCTACTAGGATATGGCATGGATTCTTTTAAATACTGTCAGGTACACAGTAACCTTTTCAATTGCAACCAAAATCAAGAAATCATACATAACCAGATTGAGGAAATCTGCTAACTTGTCAATTTGAGTTTGACAGCTGCATTTGAAGTGCATATATTAAGTTAATTATGTCTGCAGACAACAATTAATTTAGTTTCTTGCTACATTTATTGTAGAATTCACTTTAAAAAAATATATATTTTCTTCTTTTGGCTTTCAATCTTTTGAATTTCTCAGGAATGGAGAATTCTCCTATGGATATAGTTGTAAAAGGTCATGTGTCAGATTTGCAGATCACAATTTATAGCAGAGATGTCAAAGATGAAGATGGAGTACCGGCATACCTGTAATCCCAGATATTCTCTTGTAGTCAAAGTAAAAACTCAAGTCTTACTCAACATTATGAAGTTTTCAGCATTTGAGATTTTGTTGTTGTTTGATTGAAAGAGAATACTTACATGACTTTATCAGATTAAGAAGCAAGTAAAGGTTATCTTGTGTGGTTGGGACCCAGTTCAAACAAAGTTGTTGCATAAAATGGCTCATATTTAGTTCACATGAGTCTTTTTCTCAAGTCCTGTGTGACTTTATTGGAATAGATATGATTTGCTTTAGCAGTCAATCTGCCAATTTAACAGTTTTTCTGTGGAAAATAACTTTGAGTAAAAATATCTACGTGTTGTAGCAAAGATTGGTAGGTGTTTTTTTATGTCTAGAACAGAAGATTTTGCGATCATTTTATAATACTGAGAGCTTACTTCACATGCAGCTGTCATAACTCTGAAAAAGAATTTTTATTCTTAATATTTTTAAAACTTTACCCACCACATAAAAAACATTTCATAAAAATTTTTACTTGGCAAGTATATCAGTTCTGAGAGGGGGAAATATGTCCGGCATTATGACAGTGTTTGCTTTTGAGCTAATTTATTTTTTCTGTAAATTAGATCAAATGCTTTGGAGCTAGAATTTTCACAATACTGTTGCTCCTGGTCAGTGTTAAACCCTGTTCAGTTTGTGATGGGCATCTAATGTGCTTCAAGAATCTTGTGTTACCGGGGGGTGTACAACTTGCTATTTGTTGTCAACATCATCGTGGCTTGAAGATGCACTGCATGGCTGTAGTATTTCTCTCAAAAGTCTGTGGATTCTCATTAGGCAAAGTATAGCCTCACTTGCTCCGAGTACCCAAATATGGGGGAGAGTTTGACTTTGAACTGATAGGACTTGATGGATGGATCATCTTGAAATGTGTCATGAGGAGATCTGCTTCACTATGTTCCAGCAGATTCAGCAGTATTAGACCTTGAATCAACCAGAGTCTGCCAGTGAAGGGCACTTGTAGTGAAGTTGTGCCATCCTTGGGGACTCCAGAGAATCAGAAAGGCTCAAAAGTACCACCACTCTTACCCAATCTCTGCTTTTTCTTCCATGCCTTTTATGTATGGCACTGAGATAGAACCATGCAAAGAGTGTGAGCTGGTTTTCATTGCTGAGGGTGCATGAAAACTGTAACCCTGGACTAAGAGGAGTTCCCTAAATTCTTCACAATCTTAGGTGATTTTGAAGGAGTTTGTTGGATGTAGAGGCTCTATATGGTCCTGGAACGACACAATATTATCTGTTTATACACTTCTTTATCAGTGAAGTAGCCCTTCTGGTCAGTAATGCAGATTATGGACCCAGTTAATCTTCTGGGAAATTATCCTTCCTCTTAGAATTTTATCATCAGGAGAATGGATAAGAAAGATCTAGTATTCTTGAGTACTGAATTTCTCCTCTTTGTTCCAGAGTTCAAATTGTCCTCTAGTATCCTCTCTAATCTTCAGATTCTGAGAATGTGAAGTAACTTTAGGAATATTGAATTTCTTAGGAATTCAGTTGAAGGATATACCTGCTTGAAAAACTGTCTTGTGACCTATTTGGTCTCTATTAAGAGCCAGTCTAGATCTTGTTTGATTTTTTTTAATCCTGGCCTCAGGAGGGATTATGCAGAGGTGCCACTGACAGCTTGCATGCACCTGTGAACTACTTGGATGTTGCCAGAAAGGGATCAAGACAGAGAAGTGGGAAAGGCCACATCTGTAAATGGTTCCCTTTGTCTTGAGGGCTTGGCTGATTAGGAGAGCTTTTTCTGCATGTCTGAGGATAAAAGAATCTTTCAGCTTTGTCTTTCACAAGTCTGAGTCAAGTGGCTAATATGCTGTAATTTTTAAGAGTATACCAGAAGGCTTCAATAACAAAACAGCTTTCTGTGCATACCTTTCTATTCATGTCGTTTTGTTTATTAAATGAGAAACACCCTAGTGAGAAGTATCCAACTAACTCTGGAACAACATACCTCTTGCAGGAATTTTGCTTGAAACTGGATTGATGTTCTCAGCCTCTTTCTTAAGAAAACAGACTTTCTTCTCCCTCCACCCCCCTTCTCAAACTTACCAGCCTGTGTCATCTGCATCATCTGAAAATCTGGGCACTGCTGTTGTAGATGACCACCTCAGGAAAGCAGCTGTAAACCTTGAGCATGTTCCTACTTAAGGTTATGCATTACTGATGGTATTTCTAATCTTCTCTTCAGTGTGACAGGTTGTATCTGTCAGCAGTAGTCTTTCACTGGACAGAGCTCCTCACATCCTAGCTTGTCTTGAAAGAGGTTTCACTTAAGAGTGTACGTTCAGCTGATGCTAAATGCAGAGCACAAAGGTTCTTCCTCGGCAATGTCAGTAGTGTTGGCATAATGTTTTGCTTTGCTCTGATTTTTAAGATTATGCAGATAAGTACAGCAGTCAGTGTTTCACCCTTCTCCAAGTTGAAGGATCCTTGAAGAGTGCTGAGAGCAGCCTATTTATTCTCAATAGCTTCCAAACTCTCCTCCAGGCAAGGGGGTACTGAAAGTGGGCTGCAGCCCAGCTGTTCCACAGGGTGCAAGCTGAACCCGTTTCCTTGGCTAGACCTTGTTAGTGGATAACAAAGTTTGATCCATCCATCATCCTCTGATTAGATCAGCTCACAAGAAGTGACTGGCTGAAATCAGCAGGAAAAGCATGCTGGTAGAAGAAAGCATTGGAGGTGGGTTTTTTTGGTGTGGGTTTTTTTTTGTTGTTGTCTTTCTCTTTTTTTGTTTAGTTGTTTTAAACTGTAGCAATTTCTCCTTGGAAATCACCCAGTCGCATGTGGTCGGTTCAGCCCCTGAACTACCTTTAGATTTTAGTTGAAATTTCATATATTGTTATGTGTGTTCACTATTTTACCATAATTTCTGATTTACTAAGATGTAGAAGACAATTCTGTTAAGAATTTGCCACATGTATAACAAAGTATTAATCTCCGAG